GCCAGAAACAAATGACCGCCGACGAGCTGGACTCCCGCCATCCCGACTGCCGAGCCCGGATCGTGCCGTGCGGGGCGTGCGGCCTGGGCGGGATCGTCGCCGAGCACTTGGACAGACACAAGGCGGACGAGTGTAAGATGCGACTGGTTCAGTGCAAATATGCCCCGCACGGATGCATGAAGCACCCGCTGTTTGCGTACGAGAAGAACGAGCATGAAACGATGGAGTGCCGGTTCCGACTCGTGTGGTGCCCCATGGGCTGCGGCCAGCACGTGGTCGCCAACACCGTCCAAACCCATCCCATCAAGCAGTGTGCGGCATGCGATTCTCCACGTGTTCCCTCGGCTGTGGCGTCGAAATGAGAGAAAAAGATCGGCTCGACCACGAACAGTTTGATTGTTTGTACCCGAGAGAGACCAACTTTCGGGGCATGACCGAATCGAACCAATACACGTCTGGGTTGATCATGATGCAGGCTGGCCCGGCAGGGGCCTTCAGCAGGTGGGAAATGGCGGCTAATTCCACGTCGTTCCATACTAGCACGTTCTGAGGGGTATACGCCACACCGTTTGGAGTAAGATGAAAGCAAACGACAGGACCCAGCACTTGTGACGGCGTTGATACTGTAATGTCAACGACAATGTTATTGCACTCGGGGATCTTGGCCAGCACCAGGCTCCATAGGTGGTCTTCTCAATCGTGGACGCCGACACGACGTACCTGGCGCGGCTGTGCACGAGGAGCCCCATGGATTTGTTGGTGCAGCTTGTCGAAAACGGTGTCGCATACGCTGCAGCCAACCTCGCGTTACACGAGGTGAAGTCTTTGAAGAGCTGGTCCGACGAAGTGTTGCAAATGGCCAAGACGAAGGCGCGGTACACTTGTGGTTTGGAGAGGGGGGTGCCTGGAAAGTTGGGCCATGGCAAAGCATTCAGGGTTGTATGGACGGCCGACACACAGCCCGGGCATGCCCACATAGGTTGTAGCGACGCCAGGTCTGACGGGGGAAACAGGCTGCCTTGGACAGTGCTAGCTGGGTAATATTCGGCGGGGAGGTTGGGTTCAGTGTACTCAATAGGGAGGCTTTTGTGATGGCACTCATAGCCGAGCCGAGGGAGCTGGCTTCGTCACACTTGATCGATTTGATAGGGATGTCTTCAAGCTATAAATACAGGAGCGAGCCCTCCAGAGGTCCGAAATATGGGCATTGGTATTGAATTGTCGTTCAACTGCCAATTCCCCATAGGCATCGCGAATCAATAGGCTCAATATATCTTCAAAATACTCTTATTAGTTATCATTCACGATGATGATTCAGCTGAGTTGAGGCATCGACCACGGCTAACGTGGATTTAGCACCCCTGCAGTTCCCATACTTCTGTACTACAGTAGGACGGAGAATGTTGGATTGGTTTTTTCATGGTTTTCTCAAGTCTAACTTCTAGCCGCAACTAGACAAAGCACCAACACCCGCCAATATATAGCATACCCGCCATCGAATATAGTTGACACCGCTGCCGACGTTTTGGTCGGGCTTGTCGACGCATTGAAGAGCGACTGCGCGGCCTGGAGGTACCGCGTGATCCGCGTAGCGACAGGAATGCCCGTGGAGATATCGCCGTTGGCTACGTACGACATGTCACAGCTGGGAAAACTGGAGGCGGCCCAGGCGACGGCGGCCGCGACGCAGGGTGGGGACGCGGCGATGGCCGACATTTCGGGGAGCGGCGCCATCAGCACGTCGAACCAAGCGGTGCTGGAGGGGCTGACTTGTGTGCACACTGTCGGCGGGGCGGCATGCAGACTCGTAATGAGCTGGAACTCTTGCGCCTTGTCGCAGATAGGCACTGACGAGGACGCCGCCGGCGTGAACGTGGTGGAGTGGGCCAGTGCCAACACTTGAAACGCAAGCGAAATGTTCGCCGCGCACGCGCCGATTCCGTTGGTTTGGGAGATGACGGCGGCCAAGTCGGCGGCGCATGATGGGATCGACGCAATCACCTTGGTCGTGTAGGGGTACATGTCATAGAGCGCTCGGAACAAGATGTAGTGCGTTAGTCTCGACGGAGAAAAGAAGATGTTGCCCACTAGTGCTGCGTTGCACTCGTCAGAAAACGGAGCCGCGTACAATGCCGCGAGCTTGGCATCGCAAGACGTGAAGTCCTTCGCCGTCGATGACGTTGGGTCACAGAACGACGACAGGTAGCTCAGGTATACTTGCTTCTTGGACATGGGTGCTCCGGCCTTGTATTCGCGCGGGTATTCGACTTGACAGTCGGGCAATGTCGCCACGGCCGTGCGGAGCGCTTCCACGCAGCCGGGGGCTTGGCAGATGCCGTCGAACTCGTTCAGGCCAACTCCGAGCAACTCATCGATGCTTTGAATTGATGTCCGGATAACGTTTTTGCAAGCAGCCGGATAAGCCACCTCGGTGGCAATTTGCTTTGGGCTGCATCGCGGCAATTTAGGTGCCAGCGACAGCGACTGGCACAACCGCACGACGCCCGCCATGGCAGAGGCCGACGCTTGAGCTTCATCGCAGTTGACCGCCTTGAGTGCCATCACCGCCGTGTCCATGTCTTGGCGGCATGCGCTGTTGGTACACGGGAGTGGAAAGTACGCGCGGTGGTAGGATGTGATGAACTGCGTGGTGGCGTTGGTCGGGTACCACCAGTCGCCACCACGGGCGCATGCCGATGACATGGGTTGAGCTAACGCGGTCGTGTACGCCGCCAAGAGCACTCCGTCGTTCGCACACGATGCGCTCGTCACACGGTCCACGAGGGGAAGGAGAAGTACCACCAGCGACACAACAACATGCATCCCTCCCTCTCTCTTGTGGGATCAAAAGTGATATAAGACCTAGCATTTAACTAACCTTGGTAGCGCACCATTCCTGAAGTCTATTTTCATTCGTTAAGTCTATTTTGGTCGCCATCGTGGACACAACCGCCCCGTTTCTAAGACACCATGTACTATTATTAATACTAAGTACTAGTACTAGTTAGTATTATTACTGATACACTCACTATTGCTTTGATCTTAGGAATATATAGTATCAATACCACCGTGCAACATGTGCTTTAGTGACCTTTCAGTTGGTTGGGGGCGACTGGCGACGACTGTACAGATAAATGTACCCCGCGCCAAACGGCGGCGTGTCCGAGACGGCGACTTTGGCATCGTTGAAGAAGATCCACTTGCCGTTCTTCTTGATGTGCGCCACATAATGGCCGCTGTGGGTATTGCTGCCCATGTGGCTCACGAACCCAAGCAAGTCGTAGTGGGCCGTGGACTGGCTTTCCCAGTGCCCACTAGTCCGAGCAGGCGTTGCAGCTTGCCGACGCTCAAAATCCCGCACATGGATCTCCAGATCATCCATATGACTCAAGAGCCAGTCGGCGGCGGCGTCCGCGTTGCGTCCAGTCTGTTCGAGTGCGCATTTGGCCTGCACTGGGCTAAACCCCATCATCGTCAGGTTATGCACCAAGTCTTCCGACGGTTCAGAGGTAGATGAGGAGGCTGCTGCTGTTGGGGCGATGGGGCTATTAAAGTCGGCATCGTCCATGTGTGTGAGGATCCAGTCCATCGCGACTTCGGTGGACGCGTTCGCGGTCGCCAGGGCCGCGCGTTTGCATCCGTTCTCGGAGAACCCCATCGCGACGAGCTCGGCCACGAGCGCCGCGTCGGGTTGCGTACGGGTCGAAATAGTTGTGTCGTCGGGCAGCAACACTTCGTGCGCTGGCTTTCCCGTGCTGCGAAACGGCGTCAAGTCCAGCGTCTCGGGCACCACGACCGACACGTCCATTTTCTTGGGCGTCCAGTCCTCTGACACATAATACCTCTGCATTTGCACCAACAAGTACTTGGGAAACGTGTTGAAGCGGCTGGTTTTGGACGCCGGGCCTTTGCGTCCGAGTGCCGACGAGTAGAATCCGTCAAACAGTTCGGGGGAGAATGCTTCGTGAAGGCACGCATCAAAGGGAACGTCTGGCACCATGGCCTTGTCGGTTTCGAGCTTCTGGCGCTTGAACTCTTGGACTTGGTCGGCGTTCGTGGCCGCGTCTAATGGAATCCCGAGCTGCAGAACGTTCTCCCGTCGACAAACATATCGGACCTGTACATTCAACACATCAAGACTCTCGACATGATGCCGGCAGTAGCCGTGCGTACCTGTTGCGAGGTCAAGCATTCCAGACGATCCTCCATCGTAAACGCAAACAAAGGCGATGTCAACGTGTCCTCGGCTTCGGCGGCGTCGAGCACGCTTAGGAGATGCTGCAAGTACTCCATCGCGTCTTGCTGGCGGTTGGATGAAAAGTCGGCATGATCTTTGCCCACCACGGAGCGAAGCATGAGCGGGCGAAGCTCCTCGGCGACGTACCGCTCGGAATGAAGGGCCTTCACGAGCTTGGCAAACTGAGTCGACACGTCCGTGGCAGGGGTCGAAGACGATCTTGAGGGGCCGCGGAGGTACCGCTCTTGGACTTCGGGCAGCGTCACCAGCAACTGCAGCACCGAGTTCACGTAGCAGCTGTTGCCGAGATTGACCAGACCAATGTACCCCGGGCCCGAGATCGGTTCCAGGTCCTTGCCTTCTTCCATGATCGAGTCAAAGTCCCAGTTCTTGTTGAGCTCCACGGTCAGTTCGTTGATCGTCTTCTCCGTCTTGGTGAGCTCGTCCACTTTAATGCCAAAGTGCCGCAAGTGCGCCGCTAAATTCGGGTCCCGCACCATGTCGTCTTCGGCGTAGCTGTATACGTCGCCGCCACCGGCGGGAGTGATCGTGCCCAACTTCACGGCGAGGGGGAAGTTGCGGCCTGTGGCTTCGAAGTGACGCAGCGCCTCGCCACATCCTCCCGATCCGTCAAAGTTGCGCCGGCCGCAGCCAAGATACCCATCTGATAGGTTCATCCACAAGTTTTCCTTCTTGTCGCACGTGTCGCTGCCACAGACCCACGTCGACGGATTGCCGGATATCGGCGCGCAGTCTTCCTTCGGCAGTTGAATCAGGTCGAAGGCATATTGCGACGTGGCGATTTCCTCTTGCCAGCTCTTCACCTGTTCCGATACGTGATGCCCTTGGTGGTTCAGAACAGACTCGACAGAGTCGCGAATCACTGCAGGAAGGGACGGATCGGTCAATTTAAACGTCAACTTCTCGTCACCCTGGAACACCACCACGGCCAGCGTTTTCGTCACGCTGACTTCGTCGTCGTTGAATCCTCCCTCCACTCCGATAGCGACCTTGCTGACTTGCTCCAACACCTGCTTCTTCACCCCCGTTTTGACAAACTGTTGATGCAAGTACACCTGTTGCTTGGTCCGTGCGATGTCGTCCGCGAGATGGAGGTCGCCAAACGACTCGAACGTGCTCAGGTTGGTGTAGAGTCCACCTGGCGTAAATGGGGAGTCGAAGGAGAGCACGCATTCGTCCTTGTACACGGCGCTCGAGTCCTTTGCTACCTTGACGGTCCCAAAGTTGTCGAGGCCCATGCTTCTTGATCCTGCCAAATTCAAAATGAGCCTCACGTCCCAAAGATTGGGAATCCCAGGGAAAGTTCAGGGTCAATTTAAATCCAAATTTAATATACATACAAATATTCATACAAATCGAGTAGTTTAAAACCTTTTTCGTATCTATATGTATTTGTATGCTCCTTTGCGCGCGCAATTCCACGCTGTGTTTCGGGGTTTCCACAAGCTCAAATCCGTTGTGTACTACAGTAGTATTTGCATTATATATAGTGATAAAGTCGATTCCAGGCCTGTTTCTTGGCCCGCAGATGAAGCTCCTTCACCGCCGCTTGAGTAGCTCAAAGACCAGGTCGACGTTGATGCGGCCCATCTCTTCGAATGCATTTGTCTTCGTCACCGCATCAAAGTTGTTGAGCATGAAGGCGATGCATCGTTCCCGAAGGATCGTGGCCGAATGAAGGTCCGCGGCATGCAAGATGGACGCGGCGTTCTCAATGCACAAAGAACTGAGCATTTTGCTCTCGCAAATCTTCTTCAGTCGATCCACGCCATATCGATCAGCCGTGACAAACAGCTCCATCGCCGTTTCCACGTCAACGTTCACGTGGTCCGTGTACAAATACTCGAGGAACGCAAGGAAGATCGATCGACGCACGTCCGAAATCACCACCTCCCGAGCTCGGCTTTCCAACATCTACGCACCAACGCCATCAACTATCAAGTGTCCAATATTCCTCGTTACCTCGCTCGTCAACATGGCTTTGAAGTAACTGCAGCGCAAGCACAAGATCTTGTGGGCATATATCGGCACTCCTTCAACTGCACATTGCCGCATTAGATTCAACTGTCCATGGTATCCGAATTCGTAGCATTTTGTGACGTACCAATAAAAGTAATGTCGCTCATGACGTTCGCATTCACCAAGTCGCGAAGGTCGTTGACAAGGCACGGCGGGGGAATATCAAGTTCAATTTCTTCGCCAAAGCGGAATTCCTTGAAGTCGTTCAAGCGATTCGACCCGTCGTAGCCTCCAAATACAATCAAACTGTCGTCGTACACACATCCAACGTGGCAGAAGCGCTGGCCCGGCGCAGGGCCGTTGAACGCGATGGGTTGCCACACGTTCGATTCTACATCCACAGAACATCAACATTCGACGGTATGTGGTGGCCTGAACCTACCCAGGTTGAGTTCGTGGAAGTCGTTCATGGCACTGCCCGTGCTCCCGCCAAAGATATACATGGAGCAGCCGTGGGTGACTGCGACGTGGCTGTCCCGCGGAATCGGCGCCGGCCCTTCGACCACCAGCAACGTCCACGTCTTGAGCACTGCAACGCAAAATCGAAAGTGAGCAAAAAATATCGAAAGAATTTTCGAGAATGTTGGTCGATCGCGCGCGCTTTTTTGAAAGTTTACCAAAGTGGAACACATTCACATCGTTCAGGTGGCGCGATCCATCGTGGCCGCCAAACACGAGGCATGTCGTCTTGTGGGTGACGAGGGAAGCGCGGTATCTACGTTGCCATGTCATCCATGCAGCTAGAGAAGGGATGAAGAAAGGAAAGGACCCTACCTTGGGCGCGGCGATCGTCCAGTGGACGCCACAGCAGACCACGAAGCATTATCTGCGAAGACATGTGAGAAAGGGCATGGCATGATGGAGGGATGATCACTGTACCGAATTGGAACTCGTAAAAGTCATTGCGGTAGCTTCCATCGTATCCGCCAAACACGAAGAACGACTTGTCTGCATGACGTTCGTGAAGATAGTGTCGACGATGGCGGAACGATGGACGTCCTACCGTAGACGACAGCCGAGTGGCTATGACGCGGCGACGGCAGCATTCCCGACATCACGACCACGGGCGACCATTGCTGGGTCACTACATAGAGCCACGTCAGGGAGAGTTGAAATGATAAAGGACATACCGAAATTGAATTCGATAAAGTCGTTCACGCGGGAACTGCCATCGAATCCGGCAAACACGTAGAACCTGTCTTTGTGCACGGCAGCGACGTGGCGATCCCGCGGGGTCGGCGGCGTTCCGAGCGCCATCACCTGCGACCACACCTTTCGCTTGAAGTTGTACTCGAAGAAGTCGTTGACGCGGTTCGACCCATCGTAGCCTCCAAACACATACATGGAGTCCTTGTGTATAGCACAGACATGCAGAGAGCGGTGGCAGGGCGCCGCGGATGGGTTCTGGCATGGAACGGTGATCCAACTGCGCGCAGACGACGCGCCTACGGGTTTGGAAGGCTTCGCGACAAGCAAAGAGCCAAATCCACTTCCTGTCCGCGGCATTGTCTCATTCGACGCGTACATCGGGGTAAACGCAGATACTTGGAGCGGTGGCGCGGCGGAGGCAGTAGGAGGAACTGCTGTTGTTGAGATCGTTTGGTACGAGGCAGCAGCTGTCATGCGTTCGTTATGTGGGCTGTGCGATTCCAAGGAATAGTCGGCGGCCGTCAAAGGGGCCGCAAAGTGGTTACCGCTGGCGGCGGCGTGGTGGACACCGGAAGGATTCTGGGACGACACGCCTGAGTTCATCCGTGCTCGCTTGTTACTGAGGACAAAGGTGCCGTCTTGTCCGAGTTGCAAGAAACCTTCTATGGTCGAAACATCCGGATAAATAATCCGGATGACGTTTCTTCCAAATCGGACCAGCATGCAAATCCGAATATGGAAGGCACGATGGTTTGGACAAAGGAAGCGATGTGAGGCATTGAGGCGCGGTGCAGCAACATATGCGGAATGATGTCATAACTATATGCCCATCACATTGCATGGACATCACTCAAAATGCCATTAACGAGGTGCATGGCGGCGCTGTAGGCCGCACGCAACCCACCTACTTCGCCACGAGGTTTACAGCGACTCGTTGTTCAGAAGTCGTGCAACCAGTACTGTAAATTCGCCATGATATGAAGCTATGTCTCGTTCGTTGTGGTACTCCTCTCGGCGTGACTTTCCATCGTACGTACGTCTCGAACTGCTCAGTCTGTGCCGCACCTCTTCATGGCAGAGTCGTCGACGTCGATTATCTTTGGGAGAGATGATGCTGGTAATGACCTGCCGTGTCTCATTTGGCCTAATTAGGACTAAATTTAGGATATGCCGAATCCTAAAGGCAAATTAAGCTGGAGATCCGAATTTGATTCGCAAACCACCCAAATTCGACTGGCCAATCAACCTAGTTTTGGGCGACACGTCAAGAAACAATCATCCGTGGACAATCCATCATCCATCCACCACCACCACCACCTTCCTCATCACGCCAAAGGCAGGGTGTCCATGAAGCTTACACAGGACCACGACGCTACTCCCTCCGTAGATATGTCTGGTGACAGCGCCGCCGCGGTCGTAGATGACTCGTCCACCGACACGCCGACCATCCATACATCGACTTACTCCACGCGGCATTACACGGCAGTCCAAGCATCCTCGTCTTGGAATCAACTGTCCATGTTGCAAGAAACACTGTTCCCATCATTCACATCAAAGCTCGACGTCCAGCAGAAAAGTTTCATTGCCGGAGCAGCGGCCGGCATTGTGTCTCGCACCGCGACGGCGCCGATGGACCGCATCAAGGTCGCGTTGCAAGCGGGACATGCACATGGAGGTATCTGCCAAGAGTCCATTCTGTCCGTGGCGCGCAAGATCTATGCGAGCGGCGGGTGGATATCATTCTTCCGCGGGAATGGCGCCAACGCGATCAAAGTCACGCCGGAATCGGCCATCAAGTTCTGGTCGTTCTCGTTCTTCTCAACGCACTTTCCGAACCACGAACATGGCGAGCCGCTCTGCGCGACCGAGAAACTCGTCGCCGGCAGCCTCTCCGGCGCCATCTCCCAACTCGCGATCTACCCTCTCGAGATCGCCAAGACCCACTTCTGTCTAGGCGGAGAATACAAGTCCCTGTGGCACTGCATCTCGAGCATTGCCGCGAAGGACGGCCTCCACGGGCTCTACCGCGGCCTCCTTCCGTCTCTCCTAGGCATCGTGCCGTACGCAGGGGTCGACCTTGCTCTGTTTTTCACGCTAAAGGAGTCGTACACGACTAAGTTCGAAGCGCCACCGTCCGTGGGTCACGTCCTGCTGTTTGGTGCGATCTCGAGTTCCTGTGGACAAGTCGTGTCGTATCCCCTGCAAGTGGTCCGCACGAAACTGCAAGCACAAGGGATGGCCGGTCGACCGGTCATATTCACCGGCATGACCGACTGCCTCGTCAAGATCCTACAGACACACGGACTCCGCGGCCTCTACCGCGGCCTCCTTCCCAACTTCCTCAAGTCCGTGCCCGCTATCTCCATTTCGTACGCCGTGTTTGAAACCGTCAAGGACGCGTTATAATATAATATCGTTTTACTCACAATTGTTGGACTCAAAACGTCAATTATTGGTCAAAATATACCTCAATTTTTCTCAATGTTGGCCTTCAATTAGAAAAAACGTCATTTTTCATAAATACCCTGTCCATGTTTTACATGCGCTGCCCTTCGTCCGTATCTTCAAACGATGTTGAAGTGGAGCCTCTCGGTCGAAACGACTGACTCGCGAGCATCGGCGGTGGGATCACCGGCCCTTTCTTGACGAGCTGCGAGGCGTTGGTCTCATGCAGGAGGATGAACTTCTCCAGCACGGCCACCCATGCCTTTGCTTCCCCAGCCGACTCGGCGGCGAACCCGACGCGCTGCAACGGTCGCATGGCGAGTCCACCCTTGGCCTTGCGCGCTCTTTGCTTAGGGTACAAGGCCGACTTGACGGACGAGTTGGCCACTGCCGCGCGCAGTTCGAACCCCAGCGGTCTCCCTGTGATGCACTGCACCTTGACGTTCTCGAGGGCGTAGAAGCCCAGAGGGTCGATGTCTTCTTGGCGATCGAAGAAGTACAGGCAGTGGTTGGTAAGCATGAACCATCTTCGCCGAGTCTTGATGCCCGATCGACGATACGTCTTGAGCCAGCCAGCCATGTCGGGGTTCTGCATATTCCTTTCATAGTCGAAAGGAATAATGGAATCGTACCGCGAAGAGGTTGCCGTTGTCGTCACGATCTCGCACGGTCACCACCGCTTGCTTCTACATGATAACGAACTCAGCTCCATGATCGTCACGACAGTCGATACCTTGATGCTGTCAAAGATGCCTTCGAGGATTGCATGCGGAATGTCCGACTTGTCCTTGTCGATCCCGCGGTTGTTGCGAACAAACTGGGACTTGGTCATCCGATTCCGGTTCGTCATGCACTTGTTGTGCAGGTCAGTGTTGAGCATGATCGTCGAAAACGCCTACGTAATTGCATGAGTATGCCGCCACCCGTCTATTCCGGATAATCCACGAATTCCGGATAATGTGACGGTTTCACTTTCGGACCAATCATGGCACGCAATACCAGGATATGTGCGGCATCGTGATGTTGGAACACATGCGGATTCTTGGTGTGGAAGGCTTTGGCAAATGCCTCCATCATGCGATCTATCTTTTGGCTTTCTCCAGGAAGGCGAAACTTGGACAGGAAGTCCCGCAGGCACACTTCGAAGGGCTTGCCTTCCCATGCAAAGCCTGTTCAGACACACAACGTTCCTCGTGGCATCTTCGTTGCGTGAGATGCAATATACATACACATGGCGTACGCCAGCAACACGTGGACACTGAACGCGTCGTCACCGCCGAGGTATTCGCCAACTTTATCCTTGTCCAACCCCTTGGTATGGCGGAGAAACTCGGCGGTGGCCGTCGGGTTCTCGTTGTCGATCACGCCCAAGTCCACGGCCATGGCAATGCCGTTCTTCGGTCGGACATTGAAGCTTCGAATGGCGGCATCCACGTGCTGGTTGCTCACTCCTCCGAGCACGTCAAGGCTCGACGTGGTTGACACCTGCGAAGCCGACGCGCGTTCCTCCCGCGTGGTCATAGTAGGAAGTCCAGGCGACGATGATGTCGTGGGCGGACTCAGTCGCCGCAGCCGCAGCTGTCGTGGGCTGTGCTGTTGCTTGGCAGCATTGTAGTTCTTCAGAATGTACGCTAACCCAAACACCAATCGGCTGCGCAAATCTGTCGAAGCCGTTTCAAATACTTCGACGACGGGTTCATTCTCCACGACATGGGTCAGAGTAAACTGACGGAGGCGGACGGCGGCGTCGGTCGCTACAGACCGAAGGATCATCATGACTTTCCGTATGGATGAGATATTACCACTTCCACCGCTGCAGTCGGTGACGGACACGATATGCTGGAGGTCAATGTGACGAACAACGGGGTCCACCACTCCATTCTCGAGCTCGTTCTTGCTGTTGTCCGTGCCTTCATTATTGATAGGAACCATCGGAACTAGCCGTATTTGTCGAGGAGCGGCGGCGGATGAGCCCATGTCCATGCAAAAGAGGTACCGCAGTCCGACCGCTGGCGGCGGCACCACTTCGGTCAACTCGATGCCTTTCGTCACGAGTTCTTGGAACCGTGACCACAGATCGCCGTGAATCGACCGCTTTCGCAGCGTCTTCCACATGCTGTCGTCGAGTCGAAGGCTGCCAAACTCAGACACTTGCTTCGACGCGTACGTCATAAGCTGCTTGGTGATATCCTCGCCATACCGCTCCAACGCCTACATTTCGTTTTCAGTATCGTTTCGATGATAGTAGTTTTACATTATCGCAAAGGAGCGCAGTCTGCAGCGCTTGGACCCACAGACTGCGTTCGCCGCACTTGATTTGGTCCGGATCAAGCTTGAACGTCTTCTTGCCTCCCCGAGGTAGGATCACTACACCATGGTGAGGGATATGCAGAATTAGCTTGAAGGTACCGTCGAACTGGTCCGCCAACCGGAAGTCGGCGTAAAAGTGTTCGATGATCAGTACGCGCGTCGGTGTCGTGTCCTTGGGCTTGGCGTCGCCCTTGACACGATACAGCTCCATGCTGCGACCGCGTAGAATGCAATAGTGCTTTCGCCACCCGAGAAGCATGCGTCGCTGAAGGTACCCTTGGTGAATGAACTGCGAAGTCATGCCAGCAGCAGGGAACCTCGTGGCAGGGCCAAACGGTGGTTCTTGTTGTTGCATGGCGACTGACAGCAACAGCAGCAGATGTGGCGGGGAAGGTTGAGGTTTGGAATTGACCCCTTCCGCCACATCCCCAGCCTTCGTGCGTTGAGGTGACGGTTACACGCCAAGCCCACCGCAGCGGCAATGTTGTTCGAGTCGAACATTTCATCTAGTTACCCTGCAGTATACTGTAGTGTTGGTTGTGCATCCTGTCGAGCTCCACGAGTGTTTGCTGTGTATCATAATCATACTATGCACAGCCTCAAGGTTGGCCATATATGCTTCATGCGCGGTACTCTCTGTCCACAGTTGCCTATTTGTTGACTTGAACGGATTTCAATGTGTTGTGATGATGCTACAGGAATTTAAAAGCATATTTTAGCTTATTCTATGTATGCATTGTTTCCTATTGGTCGAATAGGACACCTTATTGTAAAATGCTACTTGGAGCTGTGACTTTTTGTTAAAAACGTTGAGGTGAAACGGTCGGGGACGACCCTTTTTCTGCGACCACAGTCTTGTAACTGTCATCTCGACGGACACGCATCTATCTAACCCATGCAGTCGTCGGCCGCGTCTCCGTCATCGCAGACGCATGATACAACCCCAGTCGTCCCCACGGCATCGTTGGATGCGTCCAAGCTGGAAGAGAAGTTTGCGGCCGTGAACGGGGACTTCACGCGCGGCGTGACGATCAAGGGTAAGGACGACGCGATGAAGCTGCAGGGCAAGGTCAACGACTGGCGAGACGACGTAAGCACGCTGGCCACGCACATCGCGGCGCAGCTTCAGTTCTGCAAGTCACTGCGGACGAGTAAGGCCATGGCGCTCATTCCCAACACGACACCCGGCGACAGCGATAGCCAGGTAGGGTAACCTCATCACAACTCTTGGGGAACTCCACGACATAAGATGACAGGGCGAAGTGGATATCTTTCGACTGTTGCGGTCCGATATTCGCAGCTTGTACGAGTACCGCCTGTCGTACCTTTCCAATATGACCGACTCGATGCACTGGGCTGGCCTGGACAAAGAAGCCGTATGTCTCATTTATATATTATATTGCTTCATCCAACTGTATATGATATATTAATTATATGTATATTGTATAGGCTCGTATGAAGGAGATATTGGACGCGCCGTCCACGCTCGACAAGACTGGCGGCGACCCCACGGTCGCGTTCGATACCCTGTTGAAGGTAATGATGGTTTGGGGGTTTCGGGGTTGCGGAGTTTCGGGATTTGGTTGACATTCGACGATTAGTTTGTCATGGCCAAAGGCGATATGGTGTCCAAGATCGCCGACGATTTCGTGTCCAAGAAGAAGGAAGTGGACATGAACAACGGCATCGAGGACGAGCTCGTGCTGGACGACCACAGCGCCACGTCGATGCTGCTGAGCCGGGACACCAAATTATTCACCAAGTTACTCGACACATTTCAATTGCTGTACAAGGAGTCTAGAAAACCGTCCAACACTCAGACACCGCAGTCTGGCGACGACAGTGGCGGTCTGTTTGCGTCGACCACGACGGCCGACTGGGAGGTATACATACAGCTTCTCGCGGTGATCTATATATCGAATTTTGTCATTTTTATAAAATATAGGTATATATTGATTGTCTATATTGTCATCACGTAGGGCGCCAAAGGATTGCGCATGGATGAAGCCAATTTTACGATTCAAAAGGTATGACAATATTAAACCCCGAACCTCCGGAACCCCGAAACCCCGCATCATTGCTATCTAGTTGCAACGGGAAGTGAACGATTTGAAGATTCAAAAGGCCAAGTTGGTGTCGACAAATTCGCAATTGGAAGACAACTTTGCGCACATGTTGGCGCAATTTGAGCTAGAAAAACGAACCCACCAAGCCAATGTACAATGGCACGAGCCCCGCATACAAAAGGTTGTATGATTAGAAAATGAATATTCTTATCTATATTGTTTTAAATGAAATATCGTCCTGTAGCTGGAAGACGAGATTCGGACGTCTGCCAATGCACTCGCGGAACTACGGCTCAATGTGGACCTCATCACAAATATGTACAAGGTAGGGCGGCTGCACAATATATATATATAATATATGTCAAATCTCTAGATTTTGGCGATATAATTGATTTCTTTATAGAAAACATGTGATGACGTGGTCGCATATGACAAGCAAAAGAGCGTTGTGGCAGACGAACGTGACATATTGGGACAGAAATTGCACGACGAAGTGAAAAAGATCAGCATCCTCAACTTGGTAACCGAGCTATTCCACTCATTTATCCACCAGCGAATAAATGAATCATGTTTTTGCGACAACAGGAGCTAGTGCGCAAGGACAAGCTGGTCATGTACGCCATGGGAGCGCGCCACGAAGTGCTCAAGTGCTGGAACGAAACCAAAGCTGCCTTGGCCGAGGTAATATGTATCCGCCGTTACTAGTATCTATTCTTCAAATATATACTTCTTCGAAGAAATATATATTTGCGGGGTTTCAGGGTATTAATTATATATGTTAGCTTATTTTTCGTTTGATATTGGCTCTAGATGACCACGCAACGAGATAACTTGGCGGCGACGTTGCAAGATACCCAGCAGTCTGTCCGACGGCTGGAGGCGTTGCTGGTGGAGCGAGATGAAGTATACATATATTATATAAATACATATATATGAGAATATTATGGTTGATAATTCGAGTGATAGATGTGTGTGGTGTTGAAGCGGGAAGTGAGCGAGAAGGGGGCAGCCATCGACACCCTTCGCGGGAACATCGTCGAGTTGCAAACTGGCCACGAAGAGCGCATGCTGGAGAAGACCAAGCGTCACGAAGAAGGTTCATCTATTATTTATTATCGGTTCATGATAGATGATGGTTTAGAATTCGACAAATTGCTGGTGAAATTCGACAAGACCAAGAAAGAACTCGTGGAAACGGTCCAAGACAACATCATATCCTTGACCATGTATATTTTGTATTTGTTTGATATTTGGAAATATGTATTTGCTATATATATTTGTATTTGCTTGATATATGTGAAATATGTGAGCCTTAACCTGCTGGTGCACATCTTGGACGGCAAGCTGCGCGCGGCGCACGATCGCATCTCCCGCTTCCTGTCGTAATGTTCAAGGAAGAGTGCGCAAAAACCCCGAAACCCCGAAAATACTAGTGCATAGGCTATTAAACTTATTGAAAGTGTTAACTAGTTACTATACAAAGTACCATTACAGTTTCTATGTATAAATAGAAATGTGCTCCAATGAGATTCTTCTAGCAATATTAATTTCTCCATCTTCTCGAGAGCTCCAACTTACTCTTTACTATCACATGTTTAGTAGTTGCAATGCACTTTTAACACAATAGGAGTACAATCACGCTGTAAGTTAGTCGAGTAAGCCAACATTAGTCGAGTAAGCCAACATGCAGCGACGGGTCCATGTTAATGGACGTGTGGAGCTTGGCTGGGTTGGTCGTCCGGGCGTAGTAGGCCAGCAGACCGCCGACGTCTCGCTTCAGGAAGCTGTCTTGGATCCAGAACTGAACTACGTTGAGGAAGCTAGGGATGACGATCATCACAATCACGAGCTCCGAGAGGGGATGCGCGGCCAGTGGGCTAAAGAGGGTGTTGCCGATGGAACTCAACGTCGCCGACGACGAAATCAGCACGGACGTGACGATGCCTTTGGAGAAGATGATGATGCTGAGCCAAGCTGTGAGCTGCACACCCCATATCCTACTGCATTGTCACTTGGGGAGAGATGGACGTGCGCGGTACCGGTAGGACGGCGGGCTGCCGTAGTCGCCGCTCTCATACAGCGCCGGGCAGTTTGTCCGCAGCGCGATTTCTTGCTGGAGACGCAACAGCGACAACGAAATGACCATGCCCAGTGTAAAGTCGATGAAGAAGTTTAGAAAGTACCATACGCACTACGTCATGACATCGTGTGAGAGACGACGAATCATGCATGTCCACTCACCTGGTCTGTGACGTGGGGAAGGGAGATGGCAATGAGGATGTTGGTGAAGTGACCCACCACCGCCTACACCACAACCTGGATTATGTGGACGCACGCATGAGCGTGGGCGTACCCCCAAACCTTGCTTGCCGACATCCATCATCCAGATTTCCACGGATCGCTTGGGTCGCTCGACATGCCGCTTGTACCACAGAGACGTCAGCGCGATAACGAAGAGCAGCATCTGCACGAAGTACGTCTGGATGCCGGAGAGCAGTTCGCATCTCTGTGGCGGCGGTAGCGACAGGTCGGACGCCACCTGCTCGTCGCCGCTGGCCCATTCCATGAGATTTCGAATTGGATCTTTAGCGGGTGTCGATTCCTCGAGTTATCCGGACAGCCGCCCACATAACCTTTTTTGTTGATGTCATCTATAAGATATCTAAATCGGTATCGTCATGGAGTGAAATAAAAAACCGAAAACGTCGCCTTGCTTAGTGTTGCGAGAGTATTATTATTTTTCGATATTCAATCGAAAGATTTCAACTTTGGTATCCGGATATTCCTTTGCCAGCATAGATCCAATTTTGCGCCACTTGCGGCCATGTCTGCGCTCGACTACGTATTGCCTGACGGCATGGAAGACACCAATGAAGGGTCAAACTACTTGGAGGAAGTCGACATGGGATTGCCACAACCGTACTCCCTGCGCCTCATCAACAACCCGTGCCACCATACAGGCCAGACTACCGACAACCACCCGACAAGTCGGCTGCGTCCGCGGGAGTTCCACAGCCATTCCTGCGATGAAGATGTTACTGACGTCAATACTGCTAGTTCCATCATGCTAGCAGAACACAACAGAAGCGCCACGTTGTTGGCAAGGATACGAGAAAAGGTATTCGCACGCCTGGCGACGTGCGACAACGACTCGACCGTCAGCAGTGACAAGGACTACCTAGCACCCGACAATGATAGCGACGACGACGACGATCCCCAAGACGAGCATGAAGATAGTCATAGCAGCGTTGAAGGGGTCTGGCATCCAGTATCTCGCAAACGGGACTTGCAGTCGTTCTTGTTGGGTGGTCGTTCACTGGACACTCCGTCCTCGTCTGCGATCCTTCCGATGCCGCCCTCGTCCATGCCGATCCCCTTCCTCTTCCTTCCACCTCCTCCATCTCTCTCGTCCAAACCATCGTTGTCGGGAGGATCACTCGTAGCCAAGTGCCTGCTGCCGGCAGTTCCCCACCGCCCACCACTGCGCAAGTATAACCATCGGTCCATCTATAACTGTGTCCGATGCGGTCAAATGAAGAAGCACCACACGTGCACATTCCCAGAGAACGTCCGCTCCGTCGGCACCGCCATGTCCTCGACGTCCCTGCCGCGGGACACCGTGTCCAGGTATTACAAGTGCGGCCGTGTGCTGGTGTGCAAGAAATAAAGAGCAGGACTATGTTAATAATATAGGTTATTTTAATATAGTCACGCGCTTCCATTAGGTTCAAGGACTATTTTAACGGAAACGAAAGGTTCAATATAGTCATGATATATGGTATGTCACACGCTCTAAATGTCCAAACGCAAGCAACAAAGAATCGCACAAATACCAAATGTCCATGGTGTGGTTTCCATAAATTGCTTACGCACCGTGTTGTTTTGACACGCTAGATGATATCAGTATTTACGGTATGTCACACGCTCCAAACGTCCAAACGCTAGTAACAAAGAATCGCACAATCACCAAATGTCCATTAGTCACGCTCGAACTATTAATATGTACATGAGGTTCTTGCTTAGGACGATTAGAGCAGCGAACGACACCAATATATAGGCATGGATGTCCTTGTTAACTTCTCATGGAGACGCTGGTATGAGTGGTTAACGACGGCGAGTTGGTCCCGCCCAGAGCATTCTCGAGCTCTTCGTACGCTTGTTTCTGGAGGTGCTGTGTGTTGCGCAGTCGCTGAATGAGCTCCATTTCCAGCCGCTCCATCTCTTGGACTTCCACTTCCTTGTCCAAAAACGCCTGCTCTTCGCGGCGAATGATGTTGTCCGCACGCTCCTTGTTGGCTCGCTCCACCTCCATCTACTCCTCCGTCAATAAAATAAATCTAAACAACCCCGAAACCCCGGAAATAACCCCGAAACCCCGAACCCATGGCGCGACTGACCTGTTTGGCTTGGCGTGCTCGTTTGAGCTGGTTTTCCTGCTTGAGAACGTCCTCCCGACGACGCACTGCTTCCTCCAGCTCGAGGCGCTTCTTTTGCTCGGTAAACTGTCGCCACTTCTGCTTGTCCTCCTTCAGCTGCTGCGCGTCGGACCGCTTCTGGTCGAGGATCTGCTGGTCGATTTCTTTCTTTTCCGACGCGAGCACGAGCTCCCGCTTGAGCTGCTGCTGTGCGTGCAGTTCGCGTTCGGCCTGTGTCATCAGCGCCGTGCGTTCGCGGGCGTAGTTCTCCTTCTCCTGGCGCAACTTGACCAGCTCCATCGCGCGCTTCTTGGTCTGTTCGATCTTCTTCCACGCCCGGGCTTCTTCCGCCTACAGTAGATCACGGAAACATGACGAGCGGTGCGTACAGCAGTCAGTACCTTGAGTAATGCGATGCGGTTCTGCAGCAAGGATGCGTCGCTGGACACGTCTTTTCGCCTCTATAGCCACATCGTCATGTGACGGACGAAGCTATTCCTTGCCTTGGACGTACCTGCTTTGCTTCAAGCAGCTTACTCTTCGGCATTGACCCTTCCATGCTCGATTTCAAACTAACGTTTCACAGAGTTGATTGATTGCCTAAAAATAAGGCGACAACTTTTGGCCCGTTTGATTGGCTCATATAAAACGTCTTTGTCAAAACCCCATTTGTTTAACGCGAATGGAAAACACGTATAACCTCTATATTTCGATGCATTATTCACGAACTTACTGATATCATCAGTATCAATTACTTCGAAGTATTATTGTAGAGACCATTGGAGGTTTTTGTGTTTACAGTTAGTTAGGTGAATATTGTAATATTTTCGAAAGTCGGTGAATTGTAACGGAGGCTGGGTGAAATATAACACGGCATTTTACATTGGCGTGAAATATAAATGGAGATTGGTTGACTGTGAGATGAAATATAATTGGGACTCAGGTTGGTGGACATATATACATTGAAAAAAGATGAAATAAATTGCAAAACGGTATACTTCGAAGTAGTATAGAGTTCGTCAGAGTAAATACATATTTCGACGTATTTTAATATTTACAATAAAACGGAATATACTCCAAATATACGTTTTTATTGGTAAAGGGTATTTGAACAAGAACATGGATCGAACAGCGACTATGATGCAGCAGCACTGCATGCGCTGCAGGAACATTGGCACGAGCTTGGACGAGTCCTATGTGAACGTCAACGCCACCAGTGTCCACATGCCTCCGTCTGCGTCCATGTCGCTGTCCGTGATGCGGGACAGGGAGTCGTCTCATGCCGACGTGAGTTCCCATGTCAAGAAGATCCAACGACTCCATGCGATCAGCGAAAGCATCACAGCTAGCGCAACCACGTCACTTCCAGCCATGTGTCCTGAGTGTCTTCAAATTCTCACGCAGATGCTGGAGAAAAGTGACGCGCGGGCACGGCAGGAGAAGAAGGCATTGGCCGCGTTCATCGCGACCGTCCCCAAGCCCGTTCGATCGTCGTCCATCAAGTCGCCTTCCCCTGCGCCATCGTTCCGTCCCGCCGATCCGTCTCTAGTAGCCATCCACGACGAACGCATGTCCATCCAAGTCGAGCTGCAACAGTTGCAGGACGAGTTGCGCGGCGTGGAGGTCGAGGAAGCGGCCATGTGGGCGCGCATCAACGACGAGCTGATGGCGGTGGACGTCGCGCACGATGCGCGGGACGCCAGTGTGGCGCGCCTACTGGAAATGGAGTCGCGATTGCATATCATCCGGCGCATGAATGTCTGGAACGACGCGTTTTACATCTGGCACAAGGGTCCATTCGGCACGATCAACGGGTTCTGCCTCGGGAGACTGCCACGTCACCACATCGACTGGCACGAGATCAACGCGGGGTGGGGGGACGTCGCACTTGTGGTCGTCTTGTTGATGGAAACCATGGACATCCCCATCCGAGACTTCCAAGTCGTGCCCCTCGGTAGCTACTCGAAGATTCGAAGGCTGCATCCGTCGCCTACTATGGAATACGCGCTGTACGTCCTAGTACTACTACTACTACTACTACTACTACTACTACTAGTAATCCATTTTCATTACTGTAGCCATGGAGGGGACAGCGACAACTACGTGGAGAGCCCATTCAATTTGGGTCTCGCGGCGCTGTTAAAGGTCGTGGCTCACCTGGGTGAATATGCTGAAGCAACAGATTCAACCTTTCGGTTGCCATACAAGGTGACTAGTACCCTCTAGTAGTACTACTAGAGTGTTCCTAAAGTGGAGAGTAGATTGGAGCGACGACGGCGGATGTTGGTGGACTGAGCCTCTTGTTTGGACGAGACGAAGAAGTGTGGACAAAAGCGTGTAAATCTATCTTGACCAACTTGAAGTGGTTGCTAGCGTGGACATCCAAAGCTGCTAGTACTCCCATTGCCAATGAAGGTACTAGTAGTAGTACTACTACGAGGCCAACCACGAAGGGAGGACGTCACTAAAACGTTGTGCTATTGTGTTTGGGAGGTGGTTACTATTGAGCTTGTGCGTCTACTAAGGCTACTAGTGCTGGATGATCATTGCTACTACTACTACTACCAGTGATCCGCTTCCGCTTTTCGCCGCGATGGGCCGACAAGCAAAAGTGCAGCAGCAGTTCGGCTTCGTCGTTAAAGTCAGGGAATGACCTGGGCACCGGTCGCTGCTGTGGTTGCTCTCCTTTGGTATGTTGTCGCCCAGAAGTAGGAGGGGATGTCCGGGGGACGCTCACTGGCTTTAGTGACAGCGACGTGAAGAACTCGTCCTCCAGCACCTGCAGCTCCTCGGCCGCCTTCTGGATGGACTTGGCCGTCTCGACTGAGCTCTCGAGCACCCGGAAGATCTGCTTGCCGATGGAACTGTTGCCTTTGAGCTTCTTGGTCACGCGCATCGCCTCGCAGTTGAGTTTCTTGGACAGATACCAGCGCAACGACGTGCCGTCGGCAATGTCCAGCAGCCCCAGACGAAAGAAATGGATCATTTTGTTCGTGAACGCTTCTTCTTCGGGTGTCCACTTGCCACTGCGCAGACCAGGAGGACATTTGGACTTGGTCGACCGCTTCGAGTCGCGCTTGTCATGCAGGGACGAAGGGGAACTGCTGGTGTCGGACGAGTTGTTGTCAGAAGAGTAGTTGATGGGAGATGCATGTGGAGGGATGGGTGTACTCGGTGCTGCCGGGACGGGTGCCAGAAGGGGCTTGGGATGTGGGACCCCTACCACAGACGGGGACACTGATGTCGCAGCCGATGGGAGCCGGATAAGGAACCCAAGCGGCGCGGCAGCGGGTGTTGCTGCTGCGGACGAGGATTCTTGGTGCTGCAGGCTAAGCATGTTGTCTTGTTCTATGGGTTCTCTTGCTTCCTTGAAGGGAGGGATACCGCCAAGGAGCCTTCGGCGGCGGCGCGGCGGTGTGGCGGTCGCAAAGTGAAGTTCTCAAAACCATCGGTTCACTTCAACAATTAAAATGCCAGAGGTTTAACCGTATATTTGATCAATTATCCGGTTTTTCCCGCCTCAAATGTCAACGTGAATACAAACTTGAAGTGAGTGAGAGTGGATGGCTTTCAATTTGAAGTTGCAACTCTCGCTGGTTCAGTAGCCTCTTATATTTGATAAGCATTGTTTGATTGGTTAAGAACTATTGAACTTTTAGCGAATCAAATTCAAACGTTTCGACGGCAACTTCAAGGTCCCCACGTACAATGCTCTGATTGGCCGACATTGAGATAAACGTAGGTTTTAAACACATAAACCAACTTCAACGTATTACAGCATGCGTAATACTACTAATAGTAATACTAACTACAAACGAAACTTGACGTTCACTTTACGTACAGTAAGCGTTTCAAGTTTCCACTCAACTCGAGTAACACCTCCCCAGTCGAGAGCGCTTCCGACGGGATCCCTTCAACGGACGTGAAGAAAGATGGTCTTTGCATGGGACTGGACTCAACGCGTCCTTGTGTCCGACAAGATCGTGTACGTGGAATGGCGGCATGAACCTTCCACAACTTGGTTCTACGCGCGAGGACTGACTTCGTTCGACCTTGACGGGCACCTTCTCGACACGTCCACCCTGCGGCTTTGTCAGGTTATAGAATCACATGTACATCTGCTACGGCCAGGACATCAGCTCTGCGTGTCTGTACGCACATCCACAGACTCCAGCGTTCGCACCCGAGCCGTGTGCGTCCTGGCCTGCTACAACCTCCTCCACCATCACACATTGTCTGTTACAGACGCTTGGATACCGTTTGACTCGTTGCACATCGTTCCATTCTTCGACAGGTTGTCGTGTCTGCATGTCCTCGACTGCGTCCGCGGCGTCGACAAAGCCCGCGCCTGCGGGTTCATACCCCCCGACCACCACCACGTCGACGCGCCTCCATTCACATGGCTGAGTAAGAAGGTCCTCACGTTTCCAAGTCCATCGTGCACATTGGACACGTTCATGCCGTACTTCCACGCGCACAATGTCACTTTGATCCTGGCGCTGCATCCCCCCGTCTACTGCTTCGACACGCTCGACATCGAGTACATGGACCTCATCTGCCCTGACGACATGCATTCCGACGACATCATGCTCGGGCGCATCTTAGACGCGATCGAAAGCACCCCCGGGGTCGTGGCAGTGCACGGTCTCCACCGCATACGGACGTTCCTTGGCGGGTACCTCATGCGGACCCACGGGTTCTCCGCCGCGGAAGCGGCCGGCTGGCTCCATGCGACCCATCCTTACGACGTCGACGGAGACCAACTGTTTCCGCACATGCTGAGAAGGTGGCATGCCGTCCTCGACACCTCCACAGACACTAGACGAGATGCCGACGCGCGGCCGCGCTCCAGTAGCTCGTTGAAGATCAACATCGGAGGCATCAGCTTCGGGTCGTCGCTCCTCCTAGGCAGCTCCACGACCAAGTCCCAGGATAAGAGTACACTGTCTAAGAAGAAGAATGTTCCACCGCAGCTGGTCAAGACCTCGAGTCGGTCGAATGACGTGGCAGAGTGTGGTGGCAGTACCAGTCGTGGTCATAGTCGGGAGCGAAGCCTCAAGACCGCAACTCCAGTGCAATCGTAGTAGTAGTAGTACTACTACTACTCATACTATTAATATTCCCTAGTAATACTATTCAAGGATTCGAACAGGGGTGTGCTCGACCTGGGCAATGGTTGAAGTCGCGACGGCCTTGATGGACGCGTGCAGCTCGTCGATAGACTTGGTAGCGTCGAGGACATGCCAAGGAGCTTTCGCTGCCGCCTCAGTCTCCATGATGCGGAAGAAGTTGGCGCGCACGCGTTCCTGGAACTCGCGCTTCTCGTAGCGTTCCTCGCCGTAGGCGGCACGTTGAGCCGCATCGTGTGTGGAGATGTCGAGAAATATCACAACGTCAGGTCGAGGAAGACCGATCTCTGGACGCATGCACCAGTCAAGGGACAATCCAGGCTTCTCCTTGGCCGCCGTGAACGCAGCGCCGCTGTAGCAGTACCTAGGCAGCCACCACATCAAAATATGCGAGGGAAGGAAGGAAGGGTACCGATCGAGGACGACATGGGTGCCTTGGTTGAGAAGATCGCGGAGCTTCTCTGACAGCTCCCACCGATTCGCACTGAACAGCAGATGAATCGCCTGGTCGTTCATTTCGCATGCGTTGGATAGGTATGCGTTGATGGTGGACCCGATGGACGTGGTACGGTCCGGGAAGTTCTGGAGCGTGCAGTTCAAATGCTGTGCGAGGAGTTTGGCTTGCGTCGACTTGCCGCATCGATCTACACCTTCCAGGAGGATGAGCGCACCGCGGCGTGCCATGTCAGCAGGCGCGGCCATGGCAAAATGGAAAGTGATTGCAGCTTCCGGATACTTCAATACGAAATTATCCGAACATCAATCTTCCACAAGAATTCAATCATGTCGATGGGAATCAAGAATGGCGACCCCGACAGCTCCGTGCTCTACGTGAGCTTCAACCAGGATGCGACGTATGTGCAGAACGAATGATGCATGTGCTTGCAGCTCACGCCATCCCCGACGTAGATGCATCAGCGTTGGCACGCGGCAGGGCTTCTTCGTGTACAGCTGCGAACCGTTTGCCCGGTCGTTCCAGGACGCAGCAGGCGGTATTGGCCTTGCGGAGATGCTGTTCAGCTCTAGTTTAATCGTGTTGGTCGGTGCAGGGGAACAGGTACTGCTCGTCCTCCTCCATATATCACGGTAACGGACGATGGCAGCCTGCGTTCTCCCCGCGAAGGTTGCGCGTATGGAACACCAAGACCAGCGCAGCGATCTGCGACCTGAACTTCGTCACGGCAGTGCTCGGGGTGCAGTTGAACCGACAGCGGTATGCCTTCTCCTTCCTTCCCCCACTACGACTGACACATACGTAGCCTCGTAGTGGTGCTCGAGAAGAAGATCTACATCTTCGACATCAACTCGATGCAAGTTCTCAACACACTCGACACCTCGTCCAACCCAAAGGCGCTGTGCGTGCTGTCTCCCGCCGACAACGGGTACCTCGCCTTCCCCGCCGGAGGTGTCGCCGGCGAGATCGTGCTCTACGACGCCATCAACCTCAGCGTCCTCAACGCCGTGCAAGCGCACCGCGGGATGCCCGTCGCCTTGGCCATGAACGCCACGGGCACATTGTTGGCAACTGCTTCCGACACTGTACGAATAGTGACATGCCCCCATATAGTAGTGCCATACTAGTAGTATGGCTAGGGTACTATATTACGAGTGTTTGACGTCCCGAGCGGCAAGAAGCGCGCGACGTTTCGACGAGGGTCGTACCCCGCGACCATTTACAGTGTCGCATTCAATCCGACGTCGACATTGCTCTGCTGTTCCAGTGACACGGGCACCGTCCATATCTTCTCTCTTACTGGCTTGGAGAGCGCTGTGACCGGGTCGTATTCTCTGTCGCCGATGCTCGGTCCCGTGACCCGTCTGGAGCCCAAGGCGGCGACGACCAAAGCCATGCTCAGCTCATACCTGCCGTCGTCCGTGACCCGTATCGCAGAGGGCGCGCGGGATTTCGCCTACGTATGATCGGTGGTTTGGCCAAGTCGAGTTAAGGGCGTTTTTGTTTGGGTAGGCGCGACTGCGCTCAGCAAATGTGCCCAATCTGTGCGCGTTGAGAGGACCGCTGCCGGGAAGTAACCACGTGCAAGTGCTCGTGGCAACCATTGACGGGTTGTTCTATCAGTATGCCCTGGATATCACCACCGGCGGCGAATGTGTCTTGGAACGAGTATGTACAATATATATATATATATATATATAATATTTACATATCATGTAGGAGCACATGCTGCGGGACTCTGCGTCCGAAGAGATCGAAGCCGCGTACTTGTCATAGAGGGGGATATATTATGACCATCAAATCCGCTAGTTAGTACAAGAATATATTGAACGTTCAGCGATATTCCACCAAATCTCAACAACTACAGGTGTATCGGGATTCCGGGGTTTCGGGGTTCTCGAAACCCCGAATATGGTAATTCTGAACCCCCGAGTAGTCAGTTACACCGTTCAACGGGGGGTTACACAATCCGTTTCAGGGCTCAGCAATGATGAATGCAACGATCAGAAACCCAAAATGAACGCACAAGATGGCTTAACGTATCTAAACATAGCGCGATGTAGTCGAACGTCGTCATGGCTTGCTCGTCACTTGTCAGGCTGCAGGGTCGATGCATCGACTGTTCTTCGTCCTAGTTGGCTCTGGCTGGGCTTTGGCTGGCACGTGCACCAACACAAGCCTGAGCTCGCGATTTGAAATCGCCCAAAGTGTCGGTATCTCTCCCACATGTGTGGGGCCATGGAGTGCCACCATGCCCAAAACCATCGATTTTCTGACGGTGTTCAGCGGGTATGCCCCCCTCGCGTGCGCTCAAAGCTCCTGTCGACAGGACTTTCAAACTAGCGCTTCAAACATTGGCGCCATAGTATGCGACGAAGCGCAGGCCGCGGCCAAGGCCATAACTGGTCTAGTGAACCTTTGCAGCTCGTTGGTTCTCGCTACAACTGCCCAGCCTACGTGCTCCAACTACTCGTATGCGACCAACCTCGGCGCAGTGCCAGCAGCGTGTGCGTCGGCTGCCCCGCTTGCGACCAGCGCTCTCGCCATCTTGCAATCGTCCGATTTGAAGTCGTTCGACGCAGTGTGCCAAGTGCCAGCTTGTGTGGCCAATCTCACGGCACGCATCACTGCGCTACCAACCTGCCGACTGGAATGGCCATACTTCTACGGCGCCCCCCTGATCCCGAAAGAAGTGTATCTGGGCTACCTGTCTTCCTTCTGTGACAACTTGCCTACTCAATCTGCTGTCAATACCTCGTCCTGCCCTGCCAAGCTGGCGGCGCTGTATGCGACGCCGTTTTCCGATACGTGCATCGCCCAATACTTTGGAAACCGCATTGCATTTGTAATTTACGAAGCCACCCTCCGCAGATACATCCTGCTGAGTCGATATCTAGCCACCAGTAACGCCTGTAAAAGCAGCATTCAATACATGCTCAATGACCTTGCCGACGCCGGTCCTTGTGCAGCCAGCGTCCTCTTTGCCTTCCAGACCCTCCAGCAAGCAGTGTCCAAGGTCTACCCATCGAACTCGTCCCTTGCGCTCTGTACAAACAGCGAAAGTGCCAGTGTGATTGCCCTGTTAGGCTCCCCCGCTTCTGTCGCATGCCTTCGCAACCCACTGGTTCAAATCTGGTCGGATGTGTACACGCCCCATCAATTGGCAGACCTCGCGTCCATCGTTGCCACCCCTGGCTGCGTCGCGTCGGCTGTAGCTTTTGCTACGTCATCGTTTCCGAAGTGCGAGTTCGCCGCGCCGGACAAGGGCGACGCGGCCGTTGGGATGGACGCCGCCACTCGGTTCACGTCATTTCTGCTGGCGGCGGACTATTTGGTCACCCGCGAGGCTTCTCCCCCCGTGTCTCGCGCTTGTTTCGACGGCGGACATGGCTCTTATTGGCTCGAAGACGCGAGACCGATGGACTTTCTGACTATCAGCAGAGGGCTCGTCCCTATGGCGTGCACTGTCGACTCATGTCGGGCAGATTTCATCGCCAGTGCCATCGCCTTGAAGGAGACCAATGCGTCGACCGTTCAGTCGTTGGGGGCGTCCGTGGCCGGCATCGCAAACGTGTGCAATTCGCTGGCCCTTTCCTTTGGTCTTCCGCGATGCACCAGCGCTTCCCCCTTTGACCTCGGTGGGGTGCCCCCTGCCTGCACTACAGTGGCCGCGTCCGTAGCCTCCGCGGCCGCCATCGCCCTCCCGTCCGACCTGGGGGCCCTTTCTGCCGTGTGCCAAGTCCCTGCTTGTGTGGCGGCCCTTACTATGCAAATGAATGCGCTGCCCGACTGCGAGGCGGAGTGGGGGCCGTCGGGGGGCGCCTTCGTCTCCCCCAAGCAAGTGTACTTGTCGTACCTCACGTCGTTTTGCAACTCGACGACGGTGGTCGTAGCCACCAACTTTTCAACGTGCAGCAACAAGCTGGCCGCCGCGCACTTTGTCACGTTTACTAACGACTGCGTTGAGTCCATCTTAGAATACCAAAACGGGTTTGGGAGTGTTGGTGAGTACGGCATGGTGATTCGCCAAGTCACGATCAACAAGTACATCCCATTCAGCCGGTTCCTGGCCACAAGTCCCACGTGCACTGCCAACGTCAACGCCACGGCCAACCTACTCAACAACGTCGGGCCTTGTGGCACCCCCCTTGCCATCGTGTTCAAAGTTTTGCTCCAAGTTATTTCGACTAAAACTCCAAGTAACCGTTCGCTGGCATTGTGCAGCTCTGCCCAAACGAACGCACTGACGACGCTGTTAAGTGCCGCTGCGGCCGTCGAGTGCTCTCGCAGCAATCCGTGGGTGCAACGGTGGAGCGATGTATTTGCTCCGCGCCACTTGGCCGATATGGTCACGACGGTGGCCGCGCCAGGATGTGTAACGGCGGCAGTTGCATATGCCAAGACAGCCTTTCCCGCCTGCGAATACGTCGACGTCGAGTTTGACGAACGCGCCGTGGGCGTGAGTGCTGCCACGTACTTTACAACGTTCCTCATCGCGACTCAATCGTTCGTCCCTGAAACCTCCGTCACTGCCGCGCCATCAACTAGTGCTACTACTACTACTCCATCCTCCACTAGTCTTACTAGTCCAACCCCCACTCGTGCAACCGCGCGTTCGGTGTCGGTGGAAATGCCAGTGGTTGGGCTTTGCATTGTACTATATTGGTACTCATTGCGACATTACTAACTAGTATAATACAAGGGGAATACGTACTCTAGACTCCCTGACAAGGGTGGATCATGCTCTTGTTTGCAAACTCTTTTGACATCAAATGCTCATGATTTGACTGGCCGACTACTTTACAGGCAAACGAAGCGTTTCATCGACGATGGAGCGGTTACAAAACTGGTAGCCCGGATACATTATCCGGATAACCAATCACAGGCCGAGTTTTTGCATTCCTCTCGCGTCGACCACGAAGCCGTTGATCGACGCCCGATCAGATCAGGACCACCTCAGCGTCGCGATCATGACCCACGTCCACGTCGTTGCGACGTCACTACTGACGCTGGCGTCAATCTTGGCAGCAGCAGCGCTTCCACCATCGCCATCACCTGCGGCCGCAGCCGAGCCGAATGAAGTTGCCGGCAATGGACCCGCGACGTCGGCGTCACCACTTCTGGACGCCAGCAGCATGACAGACGTGTGTCGCACCTTTCATACTAGCGGTAGTTGGTGGCGGTACGAGTGGTGCCACGAAGGCCACGTCCGGCAGTACTCTGTCGACCCCACTACGGGCGACGAATCCCAGGTGATCTCCCTTGGTACGTACGACGCCGCCCACAGCAACCACTATCACACAACCTCAAGCAGCACGGACAAGGATCTGCGCGCATACATCTCGCATGTGTTTCTTCACGGAGACATGTGCAACTCGACCGACGTAGCGCGGAACCGCAGCACGGACGTGCACTTGACATGCTGCGTATTCCGGCCGCAGGAAACGTACATCGAGTCCGTGGCCGAGCCTAGACTTTGCGACTACCTCGTGACCGTGTGCACCCCCAGTGCGTGCGCGTCGCCACCGCCGCCATCGAACATGACGCTCAAGACCAAGGAAGAGCTGGCGGCTACCGTCAAGAGCATGTTCTATCATGCATATGACAGCTACATGACACACGCGTTCCCTCTGGACAACCTCAAACCCATCACTTGCCAGGGCGAGAGCTTTGAACTGGGAAAAATCCCCATGCTCACGCTCATCGACACGCTCGACACACTCGTGGTGTTTGGGGACAAGGACGAGTTCCGCCGCGCCGTCGCGCTCGTGACCACGCACGCCACGTTCGACCTGGACACTGAAGTATCGGTGTTTGAAACGACGATTCGAGTAGGAATTTCCCCCTTTTTCCCACCTACAGACATTCCCCGTTAGGTCTTGGGTGGGCTCTTGTCGGCACATCTGTTTGCCGTCGACCCGACACTGCAGCTGTACTCGAACACTTCCGAACCGGCGTACTCGGGGGGGCTCTTGGCTCTGGCAGCCGACCTCGGGGACCGGCTCCTGCCCGCCTTTGTCACCCCCACGGGCATCCCGTTCGGCACGGTAAACCTCCGTCGGGGGGTTCCAAAGGGGGAGACGTCCGTGGCGTCCACCGCCGGCGCCGGATCGCTCTCAATCGAGTTCACCATGTTGAGTATCCTGACCAAGAACCCGATCTACGCCCAGGCGGCGCGGCAGGCCGTCCGCGGCCTCTTCTTCCGGCGGTCGGCACTGGGCCTCGTGGGAAAGCACATTGACACGGCGACTGGCGAGTGGACTGAGACGAGTAGCGGCCCCGGCTCCAACTCGGATAGTTTCTACGAGTACCTGCTCAAGATGTACGTGCTTTACGGGGACTCGGAAGCCCTCGACATGTTTGAGCCCGTGTATTCGGCCGTGATGGAGCACAACAAGCACGGCGACTGGTACACGGACGTGTCCATGTGGGATGGATGTCTGAGTAACCAGCATCACCAATCCTTTATATTTGACAATTTGGTGGCATTCTGGCCGGGTATGCAGTCGCTACTAGGCGACTTTGCCTCGAGCACTCGGTCTTTGAACGCGTTTTACCAAGTGTGGCAGCAGTACTCGTTCCTCCCAGAGCAATTTGACGTTGGGCGGTGGCGGCCGAAGAAGCAGAATCGAAATGGGTACCCCCTTCGTCCAGAGCTGCTCGAGTCTACCTATTACGTCCACGTGGCCACCAACGACTCGTCGTGGCTCACAGCAGGCGCTTTGGCGGTGCAGTCCCTCGAACGATATGCCAAGACGACGTGCGGGTACGCGGCCATCTCGGACGTCGAGACCCGGACGGTGGAAGACACGATGCCGTCGTACTTTTTGTCGGAAACATGCAAGTACTTGTACCTGCTCTTTGACGAGACCAACTTTCTGAGGAAGGCCAACTATGTGTTTACAACCGAAGCGCATCCGTTCCCGGTGCTTCCGTCGGCTGAAGTGACCCCGATCCTGACGGCGTCCGACGAGACCAAGTATGCGGTTCCTAGGACGGCTACCCACTGGAACAAGTACTTGACCTGTCCTGTGATACAGTTCTGGGACGACGTTGGGTTTCGCCGAGCGTTTCATGATCGGTTTCAAATGGCGAGACCACGATGTACTACTAGTAGCAGTACCAAACCCAAAGCGAACAAGAAAACGACCCCCGAGGACGACAAGATTGTGACTAAGTCGTTGTATGGAGGGAAAACGCTCGGGTATTTCCACGTCGAGCAGCTTCTGGGCGGGTTTCGAGTCACTCGGCGGAGTGACCGTGGCCAGTGGCTCAAGGTCACCAACCTAGGCGACCCCCACATTATCGTCGAGTCGCACAGTTCCAGCGAGGGGGGTGGTGGTAGTAGTACTACTACTACGTCGTCGTCGTCGTTGACCGAGTTTCGCGTGTTTGAGTTTGCCTCGCAAACCATGCGGCGGTGTCGGCTGCAGGTCCTGGGACGGTGGGTCAGCTGCTCGGCGGCCGAGTTTGGGCTCACAAAGGACCCGTCCGTCGCAGTGTCCATCCAGAACGCGCCCGTTTTGTATGGGACCCCCCACCTCGGCTGCACCCCCCTCGAGTCGACCCCCCACCGGGTGGTGGTATTACATCGAGGCGAGTGTTTCTTTGACGAAAAAGCCAACCGTGCCACTCAAGCAGGGGCAGTGGCAGCCGTGATCGTCAACTCTGAACCGAATCCGTCCGCCGCCCAAGAAGAAGAGGAAAACAGTCTGATGGTCATGGGGCCGTCGAAAGAAGCAACGGACCAACAGCAGAAGATTGACATTCCCGTGGTGATGGTTCCGTTCGCGGCGGATGCAATGATAAGGGAAGCCGTGGCGAATGGGGACACCATCTCGTTGGAGGTGGGGGTCGTGACAGAGTTGGAGTACCCGCGGGCGGCCGGCAGCCGATTCGACGTGGCGGTGGCTGGCCCGGATGGGTGGGGCGTCCATCTTGTGGCCAAGATGCAGCCGGTAGGAACCCCGCTGTGGACCATCTCCATCACGGAACACGACGCACGGGGATTGGACGTTGACGACGAAGAAGTAGAAGAAGTGGAGGAACCCCGAAACCCCGGAACCCCGAACCCCCGACAAAAAGCGAACAAAGTCGACGTGGACGAGTATGCGACCAAGCTCAAGGGACTGGGGTTCTCGGACCAGCAGCTGGCGCGTATGAACAGCGACGACCCGGACGACCGACTGGACGCCCTCGTGGACGGACTGCGTGCGCTGGGCCTGCACGACCTCGTGGCCAAGTTTGTAGGACGGAGCAAAGATGTAGGAGTTGGAGAGGGCTCGACAAACCCCGAAACCCCCGCTGACTTGGCTTCTGAACTGGACGCACCCGTGTCCTTTGACCAGCCTGACGAAGGTCACGACGTGGCTCAGAGTACACGTGAGGACGCTGACGACGTCATCGACCACGACGATACATGTGCCGCCGTGTGATCCTATTTGGAGTTCGATTCGTGGAAGAATATAATAATACATCGAGACAGGATTCAGTCACACACGTGTTTTGGTTGTGTACACTTGAGAATCAATAGAATGGTTGGTGTTTCGGAGCTGAGCGGCTCGAGACAAACAAACCCAGTGACGTGGACATGCTATTAATAAGAGTTGAAACTATTAATATATAATATTACGTAGTAGTACTACTAGTATGGTGACGAGGTGTTAGTAGATCCCTGTATCGGTTACACCCTTCATCCGGATATCCGTGTGAAACCGTTACAGTCGCGCCATTTATAGTGTCGACAGCAGGTGGGTACCGATGAGCACTTCGATGAGCTCGGCGAGCCGGAACGAGTCGTACCTGCAAGACCAGATCCGCGCACTCCAGGTGCAGGGAGACTACTATGCGCGCAAGGTCGAGATTGAGAAGCGGCGCAGCGACGAGCTGGACCACCAGCTCAAGGTACACCCGATACAATCCATCCACATTGACAAGATCAAGTAGCAATTCCGAGATACCCACAACGAAACCAAGAAACTCATGAGTCCGACGGGGGGACTGGGGGGCAGCACGCAGGCCAAGCCGCCGTCCGCGGAGCAGTCGATCGACCAACGCTCGATCCGGACGCTGGAGAATCGGTTAGAAAAAGTGCTCATCCGACTCAACGAAGCGGTGCTCTTGTCTTCTTTCCCATTTCGTATCTCACATGTATATATGTACGTTTTCACAGTGCAACGCCAACAAGAAACTGCGCGAGCAAATCCAAAACCTTCGGCGGGAAAAGGTGCAGCAGCAGCAAATCCACGAAAAGTTAGACCGGGAGCTGCACACCAAGCAGCTGGACGTGGCCAAGACGACGCAGCTGACGCAGAGCACGTACGATGCCCGGGACCGCGCGCAGCGTCAGGTGGAAGCGCTCAAGCTGCAGACGGCGGAGGAAACGGCGCGGTTCGAAGCCGACTGGAACGAGCTCAAGAACGTGATCGAGGTGGACCGGGTGCACCTCCGCGCGTCCCAGCACCACGGGTCCATATTTGTGGATGGCGACGACAGCCAGGACCGGGACATCGGCACGCCGGACGCCAAGCTCCGGGACGAAACGCTTAAAACGTCGTGGCTGATCAGCGCCAAGGAGGCCGATCTGCGCAAGCAGACGGAGCGGCTCAAGGCGTACGAGGACGGCTTGGCTAAGATCCGCAAGAAGACTGGGATCAAGGACATTGGGGAGCTCGCGAATGCGCTCATGTCGGCGGAAGAGAAGAACTTTTCGCTGTTCAACATGATCAACGAACTCAACACGGAGATGGAGGCCGTGGAGATCGAGAACAACCGGTTCCAGGACATGATCGTCGAGTGCCAGGGGTCAGGCAGCGACATCAACCGCGCGCGCATCAAGGCGAGTCTGGAGGAGCAGATCGACAAGTCCAAGCAGAAGGCGGCGCACTTCGAGGGCCGCGTGTCCGAGTCCATGGCCGTGATCGATTCGATCAAGACCGGCGCCATGAATATCTTCCACAAGATCGGGTACAATGACGAAGTGCTGCTCCAGCAACTCAACTCGACCGGGCTCACGGACATCAACATGCTGAAATTCCTGGGTATTATCGAGAAACGCATCGGCGAAATCGTTCAGATGCACAACATTGTGTACGCGCAGCAGTCGGGCAAGCTGGACGCGACGGCGGCGCACAAAGCGGTGCCGTCCAGCAACCATAAGAAGACGACGCTGCTCGGAGGACACGACCTGCACCCGCAGCCCCCGGACTTTATGGACGACGACGGCGACGACCCCGAGGAGGATGTGAAGCCCTGCACCATCGCCGAAATCCAAGAACGAACCGCCGCCGCCATCAGTCGCCGCAAGGACAAGGCCGCCAAGAAGAGAGTGTCGTAAAGGGTTTCGTTTACACTAATACTACATGTCGACGATCTCGAACCAAGTGTGAGCTTATGCAATGAATGTCGAAATTCGGGGTTTCGGGGTTGCATTGAATATGCGAAACCCCGATACCCCTTAGTAGCACTATCGTTAAACACAAACTACCAAAACCACCTTCCCCTCTATTTTTATAAATACAAATAATTATAAACCAACACTGTTCGTGTATATTTCTGGGTTTCGGTTCTTGTAGTGTCTAATATGGGATCATATTTTTGACTGTAATATGTACCCAAGTAAGTGCTATATCAACATTGGTAGTCGTGTGTGTTGTGCCGCCATTCGTTCGCGTACACGGTGGGCAGTGCCATGTGGAGCTTTGCGAGGGTGTCGCGCATATCGGCCGCATCGAATTGATTGCTGCGGAGGTTCACTTCTTCGATCCAACACTTGTGTCTTTCTACTTCCCCGGACTTGGCGCAGCGGCGGCGCGGAGAGCTGCATGTGGACGACGTGATATGGTTGGCAATGTCACTAAGTCCTTGTCGTGTGACGAGGTTTCCGCTCAGGTCCAAAGCTTGCATAGGAAACGGCAGAGAGGCGAATATGGAAGCGGCGCCTTGGTCTCGCAGGCGGTTCTCGCCCAATGATAGCTGAGTGAGTTGACTAAACGATTGGAGTGCCATACAAAAAGTGGGCGAGATGGCGCTGCCGAGACCAATGTAGTTGAGGTGGAGAGATGTAACTGAGGACGGGGAAGAGAGGAAGGGCGCGAGGACGGCGAGTTGGGCGGCGGGACCAAGGTAGTTGCGGCCTGCATTGAGCACTTGGATGGAGGAAGCGGGTGATGCGACGGACGTGAAGAGGGCGGCGGCGCCCGCGGCGGAGAAGTGGCAGTTGAACACAAACAACTTGGTCAGTTTTGGCATTTGCGGTAAGCACGAGGTTGCCAAGGTGGAGATGCCGGCATCGCCCAAGTCGTTGTGGGACACATCCAACTCCACGAGATGCACGCATCGAGAGAGAAAGGACACGCTGGAGAGGGCGTTGCTGCCGAGAGAAAGGCGAGTTGTGCGGCAGAAAGGCGGCATATCCAAGTCGTTCAAGTCGTGGTGCTGGACGAGCACTGTGTCGAGGGAGGTGACCGCCGGCACGAAGATGGACGCGGCGTCCTCCGGGATCGAGTTGGTCAGGCGCATGCCGCGCACGACATGGGCGCCGACGAGAGTCACGAGGTCCGTGAATGCCGACCCCCGCAAAGTGACAGACACAAACTCGAGCATGGACAGAATGGGATGTTTCCTGGCGCGCAAAGCGGCGAGAAGCGGCTGGAGAGACGAGAGTTTGCTGTGGAGGATGCACAACTCGCGCAGGGTCGAGCTGTGCTGGACGAGGGAACTCGCGTGTGTCCAAAATGAAGATGATTCGACGAGATGGTGGATTTCGACGCGATGAAGGGTCGTGAGGGTCAGCAAGTGGCCGACACTGTCGGTCGTGAGTTCGTTTCCGCGAACCTTGACTTCGTACACGACGTTCTGAAAGAGATGCATCGGCGTGGTGGTGGTGGTGGTGGTCGTCGTGGCCAACATGACCCGGAACACCCGCTCCCAGTACAACGCGCGGAACGGTCTCGGCGGCACCAAACTCGAGCTACCAATGAACACACCCTCATTGCCAAAGTACCGGCTAGACTCGTGGCCGTCGAACACGACACTCGCGTCGGCGACTGTCCATGCTTCCCATTGCTGCTCGAACTCGTCCAGCACCGCAGTATCTGGCGCCGCGTTCATAACGAGGATCTCCAGGTCCCTCAAGCGAGCCGGCTTCATGTGGCGCCATATTCGCGTGGAAGCTTCCTTGGAGAGGAACGGGATGCATGACAGGATGTCCTCGACGTCGCAAGATTGCCCGACGACTTGCGCGGTCAATTCGAGCAATGTCATCTTGAAACAATTGCACTGTCCTTCAAATATGGCGTTACAATTTGATTGGTCAAAATCATTTGAATATACTTGTCCTTTCTGTGAGCCAATCAAATCTACTCAAAATTGGATTAGCCAATAGCGTCGATTAGTGATTTGATTCGGCGGCGAGATCTGAAAATTTGTACCGAATCCACAATACTCGAAACAATTCAATAATAACGTTAACTGGGGCAAGTATTGTTTAAATCGATACATTTGACTATGCCGCGAAAGAGCTTTCCGTCAGCTTTCCGGAAATGTTGGTTCCAATGAAATGCCATGAAAACCAATTGAGATATTTTAGTTTGAAAATTTTGAAAATTTGGCTGATCAATGGTTGATCACGTTACCAGGATAAAGGGTCACCTCCACCAATCTCAATAATTATCTTGAATATTATACGCGATTTACTAAACTAACACGAAACAAAATAGTAGTATGCATTGATCATGCCCTAAGGGCATGTTCACTGTCAATGCATACCCAAGTATTTGCGAATATTTGGAAGGCGTACAGCTGTATGCATCCAAATTTGAAATGTCGAGATATTTCAAATTGTCTTGCCTTGAACACATTTTCAACATCCAAAACGGCCTTTCCTTGAGTTCAAATATACTGTACATCGTAATAAAGTTATGAAAAATGGATTGTACGAGGGAATCTCATGACTGGACGATGCATCCATTCGAACAACGACAGGGTGCGATGAAACGCTGGTGGTTGTGGGTGGAGCTCCTGGACGACGCCGATGAGGACGTTGACACACCCGATAACATCCATATGTAACGCGCAAGGATGTCATTGAAAGACGATATTACCTTACCCAAGATGTCATTGTTCAACCAAACGAAAGTCTATGGATTACGATATATGCATCACTGGGTGAAAGCACGTTCATTGCGACCGTCTCGTTACCGCCCGATGCGTTTCACGACCTCCTCCGAGAATTCTCGAAACACAACACATGGAAGTCCGGCAACGGAAAGTCAGGGCGACCGCCAAAGCTCACATATAAGCACCAAGCGTTGGTCTTGGTTTTGCATTTTTACACCACAACCTGAGAATCCAATACGCTGTGCGAAATGTTCGGGATTCCACCGTCAACATTCTCGTCTACACTCGCCAAGGCAGAAGCTGCTTTCGAGGTCGCCCTCAAGGATGCCCCCGATGCTCGTGTTCGGTACCTCTAAGCTTGTCCAGCGACAGTGGTCATCTCAAGTCATGGCACGCGAGCCGCTGGTGTATGGCGTGTGGGGCTTTCCGAAGAGTCCATGATGCGCCGATCTTCAGAATGCGATGTACTGTGGCTGGCTACACAGTACCTTTGTCACTGGGACGCTGCTGTTCGGTGCCGACAGAACGATCGTGTGGTGCCTGCACAACCACGCCTGGAGCTGGAACGATGGCGACACAAGGTTCTCCTTGCAGATGAAGTACCTCGACGGGAAGCGAACTGCAGCTGGCCTAGGTGTTGTCGCCGGCTCGGCCTTTCCCGTTTGTGACGATCTACGTGGCAAGATCAGAACCCCGTTGAAAGATGGCGATTTAGGACTGGCTTCCTCATTGTGCCATATCGGAGTGCTCATGATGAGCAATGCTATTACTTCCCTTCGTCAGACCGCGGAGTGGGGCATGGGCGAGTCGAGAAAGTGTACGGACTACTGATTTTGCCCTTGCCGTTCAACCCACCTCTGCAGCGAATGCGATTGAGCTACATGATACTCTTGTACAATTTTAGAATGTGCTGTAACGTAAACAATCAATTTAAGAGGGTTTCGGAGTGAGGGGAGATGCCGGGAGAACACAAAAACAAACGGAGGTGTGGGTCCGAAGGGGTGAATTAAAAATTAAGCAACTACAGGAGCAAAGCGACTCTGCGCGTAGCGCGCACGCGCGTAGCGCGTCATCGGGGTTTCGGGGTTTCGGGGTTTCGGGGTTTCGGGGTTTCGGGGTTTCGGGGTTTCGGGGTTTC